AATACTGTGGGGAGCGGATCATAAGAAGCCTATGAGAACTTGACATAAGCACAGCTGTGCTCAATGATCTACAGGCTGAGTTTGGTCCCAGCCGCAGAAGAGAGTGAGAGGGCAAAATGCAGCATAGCTGCTTTTCCTAAGTTGTTTACGTTCAGAGAAAGAAGGAAGAACATAAGTTTCTCTTGTTACAATGTCATACCACTGCCCCAGAACTCTTGCTCCACCTCCTTGTTTACTACTAGGTAGAAAAGACCTGCTGAAGGAGGACCAGGAGTTTTTTGATGGGGGTTTTTTGATTGGCGGGCTGTGGACTACTTGTGAGACTGCTGGGAGAACAACACTGCTGCTGTGGCTGAGTTATGCTAGAGTTAAAGGGAACATGGGACAGTGCAAGTCTGAGGGCTGAGACTTTAAGAGAGATTAAAGAAAACAAAGCAAGTCTAAGAAAGAGACTTTAAAGATTAGATAAGAAGCAAGGTATTAAAGAGACTTTAGAAGAAGCAAGGTTTTAAAGAATAAGAGAAAAGCAACAAGGCTATTATGCATCTCCATCCAAGTGCCCAGCACACGTGGCCCCAACTTTCTGCATGTCTGTCTTCTATGGTTTGTCCTTTCTGCATCTCTGGTTGCCCCTAGTTAGGTCAGAGAGAATGAGGAGCTCACTAAGCTCGATACAGATATGACACACAGCTCCTGGGTGGAGACTCTATCCCGGAGAGAGGTGGTCCTAACCAGGCTTACTAGTTTACTTCCTTTCACAAGTACATGGAGTCTATATATGGTTCCCTGAAAGGTCACATGTAATCCTAAAGCTTAAAAATGTTGTGAGAATGTCTGACTTGATAAAGGAATAAAAAGTCACTGAAGAGAGCTAACAGAGGCATGAGTATCCTTAACTTTTGCTGAGAACTCATTTCAAAATGAGTCACGGTTTTCCAGGCAAACTGCTCCTGTCACTGTAGAAGCCCAGTCCAAAAGTATAGATCAAACCAGGGCATAGGCTGCATCTCTGGGCTCCCAGGTCTTGCTGAATCACGGAAGCGGGTATTCTGACGGGCTTCTAATTGGCCTTAGGTGTGGTCACGCTGGGACAGCTTCTAAAGGAGCAACCCCAGGGGCGGGTCAGTTTTGGCTAGAGACTCACACAGAGGTGGTTAGCAATGCATATGTATACTATGAACGAGCCCTCTTGAAGAAGATACTATCCTTAACTTTTTGGGAACCCTAGTCAGCACTTGAACCTGAGTGAAGCACTGAAAAGAGAATTAGCCTTTGGGGGCCATGGTAGACCCCAGCTATTATCAGAGTGGCAGCCAGAACTGCTCTTCTGTAGCTTGCAGTGAAGTCTTTGAAAAATTCCCCATTTCAAAAGATTTATCACAGTGCTTTCACAACACTTAACCCGCATGGTTTTATAAACCAGGTTGCAATGTCAAGGCTAGACAGCAGCCCGGGACTGCTCACTGCTGAGCTCAGAGCTGTGCAGTCTGAGTTCTTCAAACTCAAGTGGATTCTGCCAGCAGAAATAGTTCTTGACATTTGCTCTTTGTTATCTATGGAAAAGTTCTCTTAACTCTTGAACGTGAGAGGAGAGCCAGGGGATAAATGTTCTGCCATGTGAAAATAAGAGCTCATATTATTTTACTCAATGAATTATCAAAGGGAAAGAATGCTAATATTTTCATAAGAGAGACATCTTTCTGTCACAGATACCCTTTCTTCCAGTTGCTTAACAAAGTACTGTATGTGACAAAAGGAAGTTCCCTAAGCAACTTCAGCACAGCACACGTGTCAGCAAGCAAGGGAGGGGTTTGTGCAGAGACGTGAGCTCACACTTTCTAACACTGCAACTTTGTGGGAGAGTCCAGTGCAATTTTCGCTCCAAACAGGCATCTGCTAGGGAAATCCTGCTTTGGAGTCAGGTCGATTCTTACAGCAATAAAACCTGCACGTGCATGACACCCCAAGGAGTTACTAGAAATCAGTGTACGCAGTATAGTTTTCACTCCTAATCCACAGCAGAGATCTTCTGCTGTCTGCACATTTGATCTAAAAACCAAACTGTGATTCTGAGGGCACACTGGCAACAATAACTAAACAGGAAGCCATAAACACTTTGGCTCCAACTTTTTCAGCAAAAGAGACTACTGGGAGGCACGAGCAGCTATAGAAAGTCCTCTCACCTTCCTTCTTGTCTACATGCTTTACATGAAGTCAGGCTGTGGAGCAAGAAGACACTCCACATGGTGGATCTTGTCAGGGACACCTTCCCTTCTATTTGTTACTGCTTCAAACAGGACAAGGGAAAACTCATGCTGAGATGACATCCCACACACAGCAAGCCTTCGGGTAAGTTCGAACACATCAAAACGAAAAAGCTATGCTAATAACAGGGGCCATTTCTCCCTGATATGGGGTACTGATCCCATGAGCCTTTGGCTATGAATATTATGTGTTACCGGTAACATGGCTATTCAAAACATAGTTTATCTATATTTTTACAATATATAATGCTTCATGCAAATGCCGAACCCCACAGGAGAGGTGTCTTTCTACAAAAGGGATTTGCCCACTGCAGCCCTGGAGGGCAAAGTAAGAGCCAAGGAAGTTAAAGAAATGCAAAAATTTAACTCTATTTAAGGAAGAGCTTTCTAACAATCTGTGTTCTCCAAAAATGGAATTGGCTCACTCCAGAAGTGCAAGTGTTCCAGCAGAGCTGGGTGGCCATCTGTCAGGGACAGGGTAGCAGGCCCAGCACCCAGGGTGGAGGACACTGGTGCATGTGAGAGCTGGGTGCACGAGCATGTAAAACTGATCACAGCTCAGGAAAAAGCTAAATACACTGGCCGGAAGAGGTGGTTATAGTTTCAATTTAAGGCTTTGTCTTTTCTCATTCTAAGAAACAGAGGAAGTAAAACAACTTATTCAAAAGAATTTCTTCGTTAAGCCGCAGGACTCACTTTGCCTTACTCTATTGCTTATCAATTTCGGGCTTTAGTGGAATCCTAAAAATTTGTTTTTTGTTTTTTTTTAAAGGGAGCAAAACAAATCAATAACGTTTAGCATCACTAAAAAGAAGGTACTTTGGTGAGAGACTGAAATTGGAAAAAAGTAAATAAAACTAACCTGGGGAAAATCTTAAAGTATTTATCCACTTGCGCTGCCCTTGTTTGTCGGCCAAAGTTAATTAGGAGTCAGAAGAATAGGACAAGAGTTTTCTTTCAAGTGACATGCTCATGCAAAGGGTAAAAAAGATAGAGCAGAGAAGTTAGTGCCAAAAGAGCCAGAACACTAATGAAAATGGAATGTCTACATCAGGCTCAGAATCTCTGAGAGCTGCTGACTTGGTGTGATTATACAAAGCCCAGGGTATCTCATTCCTCTCTCCAAATCAGGAGGAGAAAACACCCACAACAAAAAGCACCACCCAATAAATGAAGGCTTCCAATAATTTTGAACAGAGAGTTTAAGACTTTCCAGGGTGACAGAAAATGAAAGATGAGCATTTTTGCAACACCCACCACATTTGCTGTATAATTTTCTCTTCAGTTTTCCTATGTATTCCTCACCCTCCTCCCTAAAATAAAACAAATTTTCTTGTTAGTGATAAAAAGAAAAACCTATGTAAATGTAGCACAGGTGATAATTTTGGCTTATTTCAAAAGCAATTCTGTAAGTGATAACCCAGTAGGTTATCACTACACAACTTTACACTTACATAAAGGAGGTAAGAAACATGTCAGCTCAGATTGGTGATTCTTTTAAAAGAGCCCTCACAATTATTTTCCCAGATCAGCCAAAGTGAGCCTGGTGTGCATATGAAGGTCAGCTGGACACCACTCATGTCATGTTATATGGGTAGCAATTCCCATGTCTTAGCACCAGGTGCTATGGTTTACATGAGGTTTATGTGCAACCCCAAGGGTCTTTGTGTTGAAATTTAAGTGTCAATAGGGTGAAACTTAATGCTGCTATGGTGTTCAGAGGTTGGACTTTTGGGTGGTGATTAGGATTAGATAAGGTTATCAGAGTAGAGACTGCATATTCAAATCCTAGTGGCTTTATAAGAAGAGAGATACTGAATCAGGTGTGGGCACATACTTATAATACCAGTACTCAGGAGGTGGAGGCAGGAGGACTGTGAGTTAGAGGTCAGCTTGGGCTACATGGTGAGACCCTGTCTCAAAAAAGAAAAGAAAGAAAAAGAAGAGTGGCACCAGAAGAGATAAACACACACCCTTTGTCTCTAGCCATGTGATGCCCTGTGCCACCTTGAAACTCTGACAACAAGAAGGCCAAAACCAGATTCAGTCTCTTGACCTTGGACCACAAATGTAAGCCAAATTAAGCCTTTTTAAAAAAATGCTATCCAGCCTCAGCTATTTTGTTACAGTTACATAAAATAGATAACAATAGACCAGGGAAGAAAGGAGGCACAGGGGAGAGAGGCAGACAATGTGGTAACTGAACAGAACTCCTGGAGGTGTCCACCTAAGTGGCTCTAAGTGACTTCTGATGTCACTACTGGCCCCAACTACCACCTCACTAACAGTACAGTGTGAAATATTGTCAACTCAGCAAAAAAAAAAAAAAAGTTCCTGCTATCACCTTCTCTGTGCACAAAGGGGAAATGAATGGGATTCTGAAGAGAGCACAGATTTGATGGGATGACAGAGGCAGAGCGGGGATGCTCTCAGGTGCCAAGTCCATTTCAGGATCCCCTGGAACTTTAATACAAGGAAGCTAACATGTGTGCAGGGGCCCAAAGCACACAAAGACTCCAAACTAAAATCTCCAGGAAATGAGAAAAAGCAGATTTCTCTTTTTTATTCTCTTAATTCTCACAGATTATAAAAAAGACAAATAGGAGGATGTCAACATATAAGCAGACTTTAAAAAACAATTAAAAAAAGCAAAGAACTTGAAAGACAACCAGACCATCCTGGAAATATGAGGCCTCCCATTTGGGCTGTGGTCAGTCCCCAGGTGTGGGCACTCACCTAGCGTATCCTTGAGGTTCTTCACCAGGGAGCCCTTTTTCAAGCTGTTCTTGCGCTCCACGTAGTTGGATGGCACATAGCCCGTCCTGTTGGCTGCGTTCCTCACCCGCCACCATGTCTTGGAGTCGTCCAGCAGCCACAGACGCTCATTCTTCTTGATGTCCAGCTCCTGGTCTTGCTGGGCAGTATAGTCCCACTTGGCTATGACAATAACTTCTTCTGTCATCTTTCATGGAGTCCTTCTGCCAGCAAAACATTTGGAGACACTCATTAGAGGACCACCTGACCACTTTGACCTCTGACCAACTTGAAAAATGAGGCAATGACAGCTCTTACTACAACTCTGCCACCAGTTTCTCCAGGGTCTCGAAAGGCTCACCCTTGAAATGACCTTCTTTTAACAAGCTGTACTGCTTTGCCTAGAAATAGCAACCTTACTGAACAAATCTTGTATCCCTGCTCCTTGTGCACTAGTAATTCTGTGTATTCTACCAAAACTGAACATCAACTTACAAATGCTCTAAATAACAAGGTTACAATTAATGTGCTCATTTGATTAAATAACACTGGCTCCTTGGAGTTGATAGGTTAACACTCATTTTCTCAGCCTATGCCAAGGCTTATGAACATAGTTAATAAATACAATCCCCATAAAGTACTCCTATAGATCCAAATTCAAGTTAGTGTAGTGCTAAGCAATATAGTATCCTAGGTTGGATCATGAAATAGAAAAAGAAAATAGGTAGAACCAGGTTAAATGTGAATAAAGTCTACGTAAAGGTATGGACCAATGTGAATGTCTTAATGTTGTCACTGCAATGTTAACAGTAAGTAGGGAACCACATAATGGGCACCCAAGAATGCTCTGTGCTGTCCTTACAGCTTTTCTGTAGATAGAAAATTATTCTTGAAAACTGACATCCACACAAAAACCTGCACATGGAGATTTATGACAACTTTATTCATAACTGCCCTAACTTGGAAGCAAGGAAGGTGTCCTTCAGTAGGTGAATGGATTAAAAAAAAACTGCACCACCAGACAACGGCAATACCATAGGTGCTGAAGAGACGTGAGCTATGGAGAGGAGAAGGGACGGAGGAACCAAATGCCTACTGGGAGGTGAGTAAAGGGCACCTTCTGATTCTGGCAGAGGCTCCCTGGACCAAACTGTAGCCTCAACTTCTAGACTTCCATATCTGTGTCTCTGCGCCAGCCAGTGTCAGCACCCTCAATATGGATTAGCTTCCTCCTCTGCCACCTTCCCCCAGGTGACCTCTGATCACCCTGCCTGATTCAGCAGGCATCCTGTCAGGTCCTCTTAGCCAGAATGTGCTCCCCACCCTTTTTCTCTTAGTAATTTTCCCAACACCTTTCCCTGTGGTCATACATCCTCCCATTCCCAGCGCGGGTCTGGAGCTACCTCTTTTCCTTACTGCAGAACCACCACAGTAACCCTCCGGATAAAGTCTGCCTTACTGTCCTTATTTTAATAAGTGTCTTGAAGAACAATTCCAACTCGATGACATTCTGGAAAAGGCAAATCTATGGACACAGTAAGATCAGTGGCTACCAGGGGCAAGGGGGAGGGTGAGATCAATAAGAAGGCAAAGCACATAGAATTCCCAATGTGGTGCAACTGTGTTTAATACTGGACTAGCAGGCAGATGCAATTACACACTCTTCAAGACACACAAAATGCAATCAGAAGTGAGTATGGTGAATTATTTCAAAATAAAGTTTACAAAAACAAATAAATACCATACATCTAGTGAAGTCAATATGTGAAGTAATAAATAGCAGAAATGTACCTGAACCAAGATGGTGATAGTTACCACCCGCTTCAGCAACTCCATACTTAGTGAGAACATGGAAAGTGTTCTCTCAGCCAAAAAAAAAAAAAAAAAAAAAAAAATTCAGGGCTCAGTCTTTTCACCAACTGGCTGTTTCCCAAACTTTAAAAAAGGAATGATGCAAAGATGCTTGTCTCTCCCACTTCCTCCCAATGCAGACTTCAGGATTACGGAGGGACCTGCACCATGAAGTACTAATTTCCTTGGGTAAAAAAAAACAAAACCCTGGGCTTTCCACTAAATGTTAAGATACTTAGACGTAATGCATGCTCTTCTTGCTCAGGAATTAACTTCTGCATTACAGATAAACCTTTCTTCTTCTGAGGCAGGCTAAATTAGGGATTCATAGAAAAACACTATATTTTAGATTAACCATGCTTTGGTTCAGGACCCACCCACGCTCCTCCTCACTCATTGATTATTAGAGGAGGATCACCTGGTTCTATCTTCCCATAGATTATGGTAGGTTTTAAAAGCACCTGAAGAGCAGAAACACTCTCTTGGCTTCTGACTTCCACCTGGGCCTTACAATGCTCCCCTATATATCTCCCTTCCCTAACTTTTAATAAACTCCAAGTATACCCACGTGTCCTGCCATGTATTCTTCCCATATGAGGAATTTGGAAGTCTTCTCATCACAGACTGCACCAGAACCCTTAATACTTCCAATACCCAACAGGGTACAAATTACAAGAGGTGCATCTCAAAACAAACAATTTATCCACATTCAGAAACCCTCAAGTCCACACTAGCTCACACACTGAACTATTTTGTTAGATTACACCTGAAAGTCATACAGTAGATCTTCTTTCATAAGTCAAGGACTTCCTTCCTTTAGTATTATTCAGGAAGGGATTTGTTTTCACTATTTTACTGGAGGAGAGACAAGGTGAAAGGTAAAAGTGCCATGTTTGCCAGGCACGGGGCTGAAGGACTCAGGTCCTTGGATGCCTCTCTTCTACAAGTAGGGGGATGTACGCAGCCCAGTCCTACGCGTGGCTCAATGTTACAGCGCACTGCTTTGAGCCAGTGAGACCTCAGCTGGCTGTGCTGGATAACTATCCTGTAGAGGGTCTTTCCATAATATGTTTCCTGGTTTTGTTGGATGGCAGTTAGAGATCATGGCCTGCACAATCTGCTCTGAAACCATGATGGTCTCCTGTGTAACCACCAAGGCCACCACTTCTAAGCATGTGATTCTTTAGCTTGAGGTCAAGGTTTGAACACCAGTCTTGACCCCACCCTGGTGGGTGGCCTTGTGGGGAAGGTGCCTGACTGCTCTGACCAAAAGAGTCAGACCACAGGAAGTAGTCAATGCTTGTCCATAGCCACAGTCAAAACCACCGGTTCACTGGGCTTCAATGTAATGCTGACAGGGCCTCAAAATGTGCTTGCATCAGATTATGCATATTTAAAAATAAAGACAAAACTTTTACTCATTTTTTCATCAACTTCTTTTGTCCTTACTGGGGTTTGAACTCTGGGCATTGCATTTGCTAGATAAGCGCTCTACCATTGAGCCATACCCCTAAGTCCTAAGAAAAAATAACAGGCCAATGCTCAAAAACTAGGGTGTCATGGGAAGTTTTACAGTTGCTGGGGACAATGCAGCTTCCTTCATCTAATGGCCCACTGTAGCTAATACTAAAGCCATCAGCTTGTATCCAGAGGGGTTTTCATGGGTCTGTAACAGCTACTATGATACATTTCACAGACAAGGAAGTATAGCCAAATTTTTACTAAAAACAACAATTTAAAATATTTGTTGATGCTAAACTCCAGACAGTGATAACAGACCTTCCAGCACCTGGGAAGGGAGGCCACCCAGCTCCTTTCCTGATGTACCTAAGGTCCGGGGCCAGGGAGAACCTCTCTAGCTGGGAGGCCCTATGAGGTCATCCACGTCCCACTGGCAGTAAGCCTTCTATTCCCAGGGCTGCCCACTGACAACCCCAGCACAGCAAAGACCACTTTGTGGTAAAAAAAAATGTGCACAGTTCAGTGAGTAGGGTTAAGTACATTCACATAGTCGTGTTACTATCACCTTTCCCTGCTTCCAAACATTCTACCCTCTGTGTCTATGAATCTGACTACTCCAGGTTCTTCATGAGTGGAAACAGAGAGCATTTGTCCCTTTAAGTCTGGCATAGTGCACTTAGCATGGTATCTTGAATCTTCCTCATGTTGTTGCTTGTGTCAGAATTTCCTTCCTTTCCAAGCCTGAATAATAATCTGTTTTTTGCTTCGTTCACTCATCTGTCAGTGGCCACTTGGTTGCTTCCATCTTTTGGCTACTGTGAATAGTGTTCTGACATGAGTATGAGTGTAAACATATCTCTTTGAATCCTGCTTTGCAAATTTTCCGGGTATCTCTTCAGAATTAGAATTGTTAGAAATTTATTTTTCATTTTTTAAAGAACTGCAACTGCTTTCCAGGGCTGCTGTGCCATTTTACAACTCCACCAAAAGAGCACGGGGGTTCCAAGTTCTTCACATCCTTGCCAACACTTGTTATTTTCTTATTTTCTGACCTTTTATTTTTGACAGTAGCCATCCTACTGGGAGTGATATACACATAATCTGTTAAGTGAATCTTTTTATTGACTTCTCAATAGGATCTATTAGCACATAGCAATTCTCAAAAAGAAAATTTTATACTAACATAAACAACTAGTTTTCTGTTGCACCTTTCTCCCCAAAGAAAATCTGTACTATTAGTTCATTTTTACAGACAGGATTAGGTCTCTCTCTCCACATGAAACATTAAACAAGAAAATGAATGTAAAATGTCCCCACAGGCTCACTGTGAACTGTTTCCCAGCAGGTGGCACTATTTGGGAATTACTTTCTCCCTCCCTCCCCTCCTGGTTCCCTGTCCTCTGCTCCCGCCTCAATGACATGCAGCCTCCTCTCAGGCCCACTGCAATGGAGCCAGCACTTGGGACTGCACACTCTGAAACCATGAGCCACAATAAATCTTCCTTTCTTTAGGTTGTTTCAATCAGGCAATTTGGTCAAAATGACACAAAATAATTAATATACCTTAAAATGTGAGTTTATCAACCAGTTCATCATCGGTCAACTCATTTTATCATGTGCATTCTAAAAACTAAACTGTACATCGGCACAGCTCAGTGGTGTCTAGGAAATTTTACAGGAAAGAGAGAATGGTGGCATCTGCTTCAGAACCAGGGCAGTGCTCTCTCTTTACACTGACTGACCACTCAGGCCGGAAGCACACACTCTGCTAACTTTGCTCTGCTCCCTCATGGGCCTCTTAGAGACTGAGTATGCTGGAGGCAAGCTGAGATGCCCCACTGCTATAATTTTGAAGAATTACTGCCAACCTAATAAGTCAATTTTATTACACAATACAAACTGTGAACAAGAA